CACTGTACCCCAGAAGTGCATTAATGTACATAGTTATCGTTCAATAAAAAAAAAAAAAAAAAATCTGAAAGACAATCACAAGCCAAAACGTGCTTTTGAAAGAATGAGAATGTACCTCCACAATAAAAATAAAACAAGAAGTGTCAAAATGAAACGCCAGAGATATCAACTGTCAAACTTAGTACTTAAGGAAACTAGACATTTTGCACTTAATAGAAACCCACATATAATGTATATAGTTGGCTTTTTAAAGTTATGGAACTTTAACTAGCAGAAGCTCCAAACTCCCATTATGGGCTAATGGTCTGCAAAATGTTATGCTTAAAAATTAAGCCATATCTCTGATTACAAGAGGCCAGGCAGCATCTTGAAACATGAATGAAAGACAATGATGTATTCACAGTAACTTGAAGATGCAAAGGTCTGTGTTATGTATTTTACTTTGTCTTTTACTGCCAATGCTTCCTTAAATAAAATGAAGCTAAAATAATAATATAAATAAATTAATTAAATTAAGCTCCTGGGAAAATTTTATCTTACACATCCAGTCTTTCTTTTATGTTGTTCACACTAAGAAAGATAGCTAGTAAATTCTAGCAACAGTCAGCCAGCTACACTGCCACAGGGGGACCTTCAGTTGGTGTTCTGTGCAAGCTTTCTCTGAAAGGTCCTGAAAGGATTTCATCTTTTGCTTATGTGTGCTAATATACAATCCTTAGGAAAAAAATATTTCTAGACACAATTTTTTCCTTTCAAAAAGACATTTGCAGAATGTACGATTTAATGAAAAGCATATTATCATAGTGTCATAGACTTACCTGTTGTAAAAGTGTTTCTCTGCTGTCTTCTGATTCACTCAATAACCTCCTAGATAGCTCCAATTCTTGTTCAAGCTAGAGTTCCAAAAAAGAATGAAGAAACTGTTCTAAACGACATTAGGGACACATTTCAAGGCACTTGACAAGTATTGCTGGCCTCAAATCACATTACTTTTTGAAAGACTAATTTTAAAATCTTACATGACTTGGGCCTCCTTCCTTCTTTTTTAGGGACACCTGCCATTCTCTTGTCCCTATTCTCCCCCCTATCTTCCCTTCTCTCACTCCCTGCTCTCTCCTCTCCTCTCTCTCTCTTTCTCATTTCCCCCCAAGACTCTCTTCCTTCTCTCTAATATAAAATGTACTTATATTTTTATATTCTAAAAATAAAAAATAAAAATAATAAACAAATAAAATCTTACTTGATTCTTTTCAGTCTCAGTTTGCCTTAACTTATTTTTCATTGCTCCCTCATTCTCATCTGCTTTAGCTTCTTGTTTCTTCAGAGCCTACAATGAAAGAGATGATAAAGAATGTATTATTCCAAAATATATTTGAAATGGAAGTCCCCACTAGGATTCACTATTGATTTATTGGGCTGAGGACAATATATAAGTTGGACAGAATCCATAAATAAATTGCAACCTGCTTATTCACTAAAACCTTAAGAACACTTCAGTAGGGATACAAATATAAACAACTTCCTAATCTTCCTAATTTTCATTTAGTTTCATCTTTCCCCATCTTTGGGGAAAGCCTAGATAGCTAACAGTTTCCCTGAAAACAAACAAAGCTTACCACTTGATGAAATAATAGTATTTAAGAGTTATATGAGCTATTCAACTATTTAGACAAACTACCAAAAACTAGTTTATCTAATTATGAAAAAATGCTAACAACAGGATAATAACATGCTTACTGCATCATTACGGTATATATGACATTTTATCACAACACAAAACTGGTTCTTCAAACCATATTTCACATAGAAATTCTTTTCTGCAGGTTCCCTTCTTTAATAAACTAGGGAAAAAGAACGTTAAGAAAATACAAATACCAAAAGTTAATGACACTAAAAGAAAAGTGTTTATGTTCATATATAAAACATTATGTATTATGTCAATTTGTTTCTATGTTCATATAAAATTGAATTTAAGAAAAAAAACTGTACTTGGAGCAATCTTTCATGATGCCTGAAATGCATTCCATTTGTTTAAAAATTTTGAGAATTTTAACATTTTGACTTAGCAAGGTATATATACAAAGGTCACTCCAAATTGGGAAAAGCCAGGTTGCCAGAAGCCTTTTCTAACACGATCAATAGAGGGAAAAAAAGAAAACCTTTTAGGCAAACAGAAAAATATGTTAAAAACTACTCTGATGAAAGTATACTCAATCATAATCAATTTCATTCACTTACACACTTGACAAATATTTTCTACATGCACTTCCTATGTGTCAGACACTGTGCTAGGACTATTAATACATGTGTATATAAATAAGAACGGCCCCTACCCATGAGATTACAGCTCCCTCTGCCATTTTCTCACAAGTAAAATTGCAATTGAGTAAAAAGGCATAGAAGCATCATCAAAGCAAAAACTGACTTGAGTACAAAATTACAACACTTTTATAGTATAAGTAAATACATTACATATCTTAAATATACACATTTAGTCCTCATGACAATTCCATGAATTATTATTAAGCCCATTTTACTGAGAGATATTGGAGCATGCAGCATTGAATAACTTGCCCAAGGTTACCCAGCTAGTGACAGAGAAGATATAGATTCCAGCTGCCTGCCTTTAATCACTGAGTGGCACTGCTGCTCCATATTGAAATAATAATACCAACTTTACTGGGTGGTGGGGAAGACTAAATAGTTGTTACTTGGAAAGCACATATGGATAACACTGCATAACAAGTTTGAAATAAAAGACAGCTATTATGATTACTGCATTACTGATGTTGATAAAGTATTACAAATCATAATATAATGCCTGTCGGGTAAATAACAAACGATTCTGATGGTTAACGTTTGCTCTTTATTGTAGGATAAGTGGAATTTATAATAACAATATTTAATTCCGTATGCATAATTTATTTTAGCAGGTGGGATATGTTTATAAATTTTTCCCAAATAATATTTATCCTAGAAACTTAAAAATTACTGTTAGCATCTCTACTTTTTCCATGCTCCTCAGTCTTTCCCCATCCAATTACTCTATGTGTGTGACAGAAGGATGAAGAAAAAGATAAGGAAGAAGCTATTGCTACATTTTTAATTAATTCACTTTACAAATTTTTGGGGGTTTTTTGAGACAGAATCTCACTCTGTTGCCCTCAGTAGAATACTGTGGCGCTACAGCTTACAGCAACATCAAACTCTTGGGCTTAAGCGATTCTCTTGCCTCAGCCTCCCAACAGGCACCACCACAACACCTGGCTACTTTTCTGTTGCAGTTGTCATAGTTGTTTATCTGGCCCAGGCCAGGTTTGAACCTGCCAGCCTCAGTACATGTGGCTGGCGCCATAACCACTGTGCTACAAGCACTGAGCCCATTTTGTAAAGTTTTGAACTGTCTTATTCTACATCATCATTCTAACCTAGCTCTATTCTTAATGAGTTAAACTTAATCAGTTATTCTTCTTTTCAATAACTTTTTGTGTCTTTTTGTTTAACTCAATCTAAAACATGATTCAATACTCCTCTATCTGTCTAAAAAACAGTCTAAGGTTTCCTATAAAGGGATGATCAGAAGGAAGACTTCAGGCAGTTGACAAGTTTCACCAAATGATAGTCAGCCTCCACTTCAGGTTTCAAACTCCTGAGTGGAAGTCACTCCAAATGAGTATTCAGCAAAGGTTCACCCAAGCCAGGTGACGGCTTCTGAGGACACAACAGAAAAACTGGACAGAAGGAGTAAACAACTTCAAATAAGAAGGGATTGTCCCAAATGCAAGAGCCATTCCAAAGCTGAGCTCAAAACCTAACTTGGAAGATTCTGCAGGCTTCAACCAGTAGTGGCTAAGATGAAGTGATACTTCCAATGTGATTTTGTATATCTGTTCTTATTTCAAATTATTTCCTCCTCCTCTCTCTGCTTGCTGATGTAAAACAATGAGTCACCTGCTGAACTTTTAAAATTGACAGCCTTGTGCTATAACTCTTGAGTTTTTAACTTACTTAAGAATTTGAAGGCCGGGCATAGTGGCTCATGCTTATAATGCTAGCACTTAGGCCAAGGTGTGTGAATCTCCTGAGTTCAGGAGTTCAAAACCAGCCTAAGCAAAAGCAAGACCCTGTCTCTACCAAAAATAGAACTCTTGAGCCCAAGAGTTTGAGGCTGCTGTTAGCTGATGCCATGGCAGCACTCTATCTACGGTGACAGAATGAGACTCTGTCTCAAAAAAAAGGAAGAGAAAGAAAAAAGAATTTGAACCCCAAAAATTATCCAGAGTAGGAGTTGTTCTAGTTTCCTAATAGGAACTAGTCCATTTCTGAGCCTTTCCCATAATTTGCAAACATTAAATTTTGAAAATCTATAGCATCTTACATTGAAAAATAAGAGAGATGAGCAGTGCCTGTGGTTCAAAGGAGTAGGGCGCAGGCCCCATATGCTGGAGGTGACGGGTTCAAACCCAGCCCTGGCCAAAAACTGCAAAAACTAAATAAATAATTTAATTAAATTTAAAAAAAAAAAAAAAAGACATGTTACATGTTTAACTCAGTCTAAACTCCCAAGAGTTCACTGCATTTTAATTTATATATGTGCATATATATGTATATATACACACAATTACTTGTGCTTATTTAAATAGACACTCAGAATAAACACTGAAAATTTTACTTGAGTCAAAATAATCATCATTTGCCCAGACACTTCCATTTCTAGATAGTCATATGAAAGTTTCCAGGTCACTATGGTGTAAGTTCCAGAATACCAAACACCCTGTCTGTTATCGTCACATTATTTCTAAGATATTACTGGGCACATATTAGGCAGTAAACTGATCATTTTGAACGCATAAATAAACATCTCTTACAAGCTCTGACAATTTAACTTTCAAACTGGTGAACTATGTCCTTCACATACAGACTTTTCCTTATCTTTTTTCATCTTAACATTTTTGAAGGCTATTAGTCAGGTACTTTGTAGAATGTTCCTCAGTTTGGGTTCGTCTGATGTCTTCTTATGATTACACAGAGCTTATAAATAGGGGGGAGGATATCACAGAGTTATAATGCCACTCTCCCTGCATCAAATTGCAGTGTACGTGATGTCAACCTGACTCGTGATTGGTGAGGTTAGCCTTGACCGCTCAAGAAGAGGTTATGTCTGCCAAGTTTACACACAATAAAGTCTGTATTCTTCCCTTTCCATATATTTATTAGAAGAGAGTCAGTAAGTGTAGCCCACACTCAAGAGGAGAAGAATTAAGCTCTATCTCCCAGAAGAAGAGTATCAAATAATGTGTTGAAATATGCTAAAACTACCAGACTAATTAACACATATATGAGGAGATACTTTCAGGCTACATAAGTATAGTTAAAAGTTTTACCCACCAACTTTAGCTCACAGCTAGATCCATAGTTCACAACAGCAGCTATTTGGTCTCTTTCTTGGCCTAAAAAATTTCCCTCCTTCAGACCTTATGGTCTAATGCAACCCAGATTCCTACCAAGTTGACTCACAGACCAGTGTTTGCCAGTAAGTAGAATGCTGACCCTGTCATGAGCCTCAAAAAAATCTGCGTATCTTGAAAACATTAGTGAGTGATCTAGAATTCACACGAGACTACATTAACTGATTGGAATAAACTACTCAAATCTCCATCAAACATAACTTTTCTCATAATTGTTCTACGCTGCTCCACCAACCAGCAATGCTCCTTCCTCTCTGTTCACCTACATCATGTCCAGTCTCATTATTGGGTTTGTCTGCAGCTGCTAGACCTTTCCCCCAGGCTTATGAAGAGCAATTTACCTCTAGCCTAGTTCTTAATTTGGAACATCCAAACATATAACCACACTTAACACTGCAACTTCCCCATCCTGTAAATAAAGAACTCATCAGTTACCAGAATCCAATCCCCCTATAGGGCAGAGTAGAAAATAATTACCTTCATTCTCACAGTAAGAGATATGTGTTCCAATCTTCTTTTCTCATAATTAACATAAATATTAATGATTTTACTTGGCGTTAAAGAAATGAAAATAAGCAAAACTTTACTCAAACTGTGTTTTACAGTATACAGAGTTATACCCTATAAAAACATAATTCTTCTGAAAGTCAACTGTATTTTTTTTAAAAATCCACCTTTCCATATTGAGTTGAATTCTCTCGGGTGCTTAGAAATTTGCTAAAATAATCTTGTATTGCTCCTTTTTTCCTCACTTTTCATCAGTTATTTATATTACTTTTCCAAAATAACATACTTTTCTATTGTAACTATAATTGCTACCTAAAACTTTAATATTCCCCTTTTATATTTCTCCTTTTGC